TATTAGTATCTTTATAAGTCTGATCTTCGAGCATCTGCGAGTGAACATGTGAGAATGAGAGCATCAGCAAAGTATGCGCTGTAACGTTGTGTGTTAAAAAACAAACAAAAGACTCCTGCCGTGGAGTCAGTTCCGACTCATAGCAACCCTATGGGACAGAGTAGAACTGCCCCATACAGTTTCCAGGAATCAATCAGTGGATTCCAACTGCCGACCTTTTGCTTAGCAGCTGAATACTTAATCACTGCACCACCAGGGTTCCAACATTGTATGTATATAATATATATTACTGACCATAAGATGTACCAAAAAAAAAACCCACACCCGCAGACGGTTGTAAGTGCGGTTCTTGGTAACTCGGATATGTCGTAAGTCAGGGACTCCCTGCGTAAGTCAGGGACTGCCTGCGTAAGTCAGGGACTGCCTGCGTGTGTTGCGTATATGGTTTTTGCAGTCATCCTATAGTAACTACCTTTGGAGAATGAAAGGCTCAGCACGTGCTCTCAGCAATAAAAGGCTTAAAACAGAAAAAATAATCATTTGAAAAAGCAGTAGCCACAGTGTGATTCGCTGTCTTAAACGTTTCCTCTCACACTGCTGCACTGGAATGGCAGTTGGAGATTGGGGAATGGGGTGGGGGTATGTGAGTATTTAACACTTTGAAGGTGCTGAGATACTGGGAGGAACCTTAGCACAGCCTGAGCTCCTTTGTGGATGCTGGGAGAGCTCATGGTAATGTAATACTCCAAAGGTAATTTGTGGTTCAAGACTGAGAAATGAGCAGTGTGAAAGGCAGGAAAAACTAGTACTTGCTTAATTAAAATAGTGAGTTTTTCACCCTTGGGATGAGAAAGGAGGAAAAACATTTGAATAAAATCAAAGCAAAAGAGTAGGCCTGACCTCTTGGGAAATAGATTATCTTGAGAAATTCAGTGTTGTCACTTGCAGCTGTAGTAGGAAAATACTTGAAACAAAAATCTGTTTTTATTGATGAAGAAAGGCACCACCCTGAAGGTGACAAGAGCTGGGAGTGGAGGCAGGTTTGGGTTTACCCTCTGCCTGCTGGATCATCTCCAGAGTTTGAGTGGCTTCCTCCCCCCAGGGTCTATGGGGCCGAAGTGGGATCTTCTCTCCCAGAGTTGAAACCAAGCCAGGCTCTGCCTCTGGAAGATTCCAGGTGCTCTTAGGACCGTTGGTCCTCTGACCATCCACAGACTTCACAAGGCCTGCGTAACTCAGAGCAGCAGGGCATCAAATGGTGGCCTGCAATGTGTGAAATCTAGGTGTTGGGTTTTACTCTTCCAGCCCACCTTCTTCATGTTTTTTGCATCCCCTTTCCCAAGCCTGTCCCCTACCTTCCATGTTATAGTGGTGTGGGAAAAATCACCCTGCTTCAGAAATGCAGGATAACCTTCCTAGACAGGGCCCAGCCCAGGGTCCCAGCATAGAACTACCTGTGAGAAACGATCGGATTGCGAGTTGGTAACTCAAATACCTGAGCTCTGTTTCCAAGAGATGCTGTACCAGTAATTGGATTCATGTTTTCCATGATATTTAGTAACTTCATGAGCAGGGTATGCCCAAATTTCAGCATAAAATACGTGCTCTTTGTTGTTGTTGTTAAGTTCCGTCAAGTCTGTTCCGACTCATGGTGACCCTACGCATGACAGAGTGAAACGCTGCCCTGTCCTGCGCCATCCTCATGATCGTTGTTACGCTTGAGCCTGTTGTTGCAGCCACTGTGTCAATCCATCTTATAGAGGGTCTTCCTCTTTTTTCTGACCTGCTTTACCAAGCATAATGTCCTTCTCCAGAGACCGATCCCTCATGATAACATGTGCTCTTCACATCAGACAAGTCTGATATATTTTAACTATTAATGTTTATTAAGCAGATAACCCCAACTTCTACCATTTGGAGCAGTGTCTGTTAACAGTCAGTGAATTTCTGAAGATAACCCTGGGAGGGGCTGTCCCTCAGCCTGGTAGTGAATTCATGTGCTCTTCTTGTGCGTAGCAGAGGTGGCCTTCTTACCATTCTTACAGTCACAGCTGGTAGTGGCAAGGGTGCTGTCATACGGGGCTGTCATCCACTCTGTGGCCCTGTGGACCGTGAGCTACTGCCCTCATTCCAGCTGAAGAGAGGTGTCTGTTCTGCTGTCTAAGTGTTAAGGACTTTTTGTTTTGTTTTGATATGTGCGTGCGGTGTGTGTGCTGAGCAATAGCAAGCACTGTTAAACCAGTAGTTATTGATTATCCACTGGTTATCATCTGTCGATTATCTAGTGAAGTGCAGTGCAGTGAATTGCTTTAATATGGCCTTTCTAGCCATGGTCCTGTAACTCCCACAGAATGATTGGGTGGGACCATGCAAATAAGATGCATGGAACCCTTATAGCGGATTGGTCAGTTTTGCCATCCTGCTAGGCTTAAAGGGAACCAATCCCAGAGGTTGGAGGGATTGTGCCCCCCAAAAACGTGTGTCTACTTGGCTGGGCCATGATTTGCAGTATTGTGTGATTGTCCACCATTTTGTCATCCGATGTGATTTTCCTATGTGTTGTAAATTCTACCTCTATGATGTTGATGAAGTGGGATTAGCGGCAGTTATGTTAATGAGGCAGGACTCAGTCTACAAGATTAGGTTGTGTCTTAAGCCAATTTCTTTTGAGATATAAAAGAGAGAAGCAAGCAGAGGTGCATGGGGACTTCATACCACCAAGAAACAAGAGCCAGGAGAATAGTGAGTCCTTTGGCTCTGGTGCCCCTGCACTGAGAAGCTCCGCGACTGGGAAAGATTGATGGCAAGGACCTTCCCCCAGAGCTGAGAGAGAGAAAGCCTTCCCCTGGAGCTGGCTCCCTGAATTTGGACTTCTAGCCTGGACTGTGAGAGAATAAATTTCTCTTTGTTAAAGCCATCCACTTTGATATTTCTGTTAAAGCAGCACTAGATGACTAAGACAGAGAGGGACCTCACTACCATCAAGAAGAAGAGCCAGGGACAGAGTACATCCTTTGGACCCAGGGTCCCTGCACCGAGAACCTCCTAGACCCAGGAGACAGAGAGAGCTGTAACACTGAAGACGGCACAGGATGGCAGTGGGTGGGACTGGCAAGCTAGGCTTGTTGACTTGCAGAGGGAGAGAGCTGAGAACCTTTGGGCAGGAGGCTTCCTGGCAGAGTGGAGTGTCTCTGGGCACTTAGCAACAGAGCTGAGGAGCTTTGTAATATATGTCCGAGTGGCGGCCCAGGCCGAGAGCGAGGGCCCAGTACGCAGCAGCCAAGAAGAAGCTGTCCTGATGGAAGGACTGTATCCTGAGAGTTCCTGATCCTGAATTGTAACCTGTTACTTCCCTAATAAACCCTATAATCATGAGTATGGTCTGTGAGTTTTGTGTGGCCATAGCAACGAATTATCAAACCCAGCAGAGAAGTAGAGAGTGCCGTGGGAGGGACAGCTGGTATCAGAATTGATTTAAAAAGTTGGGATCAGCTTGGGGCTGAGGCTGATCTTGATTTTCGCCCCATCCTCTTCCTCGTGAAGTTAGAGGACCTCTGATGCTGCCATATTACAGAAGGGCATCTTACACTGTGTTGTACGGTGAAACCTGTGAGAGCTGGAACTCGACGGGACTGCGGTATTTTTCCAGGTCTCGTAAACTTTCCACCTTTGACAGAACTCAGTCTTACTACTTTTCTGTTGCTGTCTATTAGTAGAAAATGTTTGACTTATCCCTCTCTGACAGGTCTCTGCCTTACATAGGTTCTGACTTTCTCAGGTTTTACTGGATAGTCTACTTTGATCTTTTCCACGTTTTGGGTTTCTAACTCTTGTATCTGTTTTTAAATTTTAGAATGAGCAGTTTTCTATTAAAGTCCGTGTCTTAAATGTTATGAACATTTAGCATAGTAAATTTTTATGTAGTTTTTAAAAACAACTTTATTGAGGTATACTTGACATACAGTAAACTGCACGTATTGAAGTTGTACAATTTGATGTTTTAACGTGTGCACACCCACGAAACCTGTGGAACCATCACCACAGTCAAGTTTCCCCTTTGTCAGTCCCTCCCTCCCATCCATCCCCATCCTCAGCAACCTCTGATCTGCTCCCTGTCATTATAGATCAGTGTAACTCTAGATGAAGTCGAGTTTTGTGTAAATGGAATCATACGTATGTCCTCTTTTTTCACCTGGCTCCTTTCACTCAGTAGAATTATTCTGGGAATCATCCATGTTGCATGTGTCAATTGATGTTTTAGGTTTAAAAATAACTTCTGTTGGATTCCCTAGATGGGAAATATTCCTCCTTTGAAAACTGTTAGCCTGTTTTTTAATTTGGTTGAGGAAGTGAGGATTTTTAAAGATTGCTACATTGTACTAGCCCTGTGAAAGTCTAACCCGGGTAATTCACCTGCGCTTAAGTGAAGTACCTCGTGTTTTACTAGGCTCCCAATCAGCATATGATGTTACCTCGGTGACAAGAGTTTCTTTGGAAATAGAGTTGTTGTTAGTTGCGGTCGAATCGGCTCCAACTCATGGTGACCCCAGGTACAGCAGAACGAAACATTGCCTGGTCCTGTGCTGTCTTCACAATCATCGGTGTGCTCGAGTCCATTGTTGTGACCACTGTGTATTCTTTGTGCCTTCCAACCCAGGGGCTCATCTCCAGCACTTAATTGGGTGATATTCTGTTGTAATCCATAGGGTTTTCATTGGCTAATTTTGGGGGTAGATATTCAGGCCTTTCTTTCAAGTCTTAGTCTGGAAGCTCTCCTGAAATTGGTCCGCCATGGGTGACCCTGCTGGTATATGAAACACCAGTTACGTAGCTTCCAGCATCACAGCAACATGCAAGCCACCACAGCATGAACAACTCACAGATGGGCGGTGGATAGATAGAGAGAGTGGGTTCTAAAGACCGCTGTGCTTTCTCTGAGAAGGGCCCGGCGTCTAGAGACAGTGCCGCCATTACCGATCACTCGTTTGTTTTCTTTGCAGGTCCTCTTCGTCATGGGTGTGCGGGGTCTGCAGGGATTTGTGGGGAGCACCTGCCCACACATATGCACGGTAGTGAACCTCAGAGACCTGGCAGAGCGCCACCGGAGCAAGCACCCAGGCTGCTCCCCGACTGTCGTGGTTGACGCCATGTGCTGTATCAGGTACTGGTACACGCCTGAGTCCTGGGTCTGCGGTGGCCAGTGGCGAGAGTACTTTTCTGCCCTGCGAAACTTTGTCAATGCGTTCGCGGAGGTCGGCATCAAGCTGGTGTTCGTTTTCGATGGCATAGTGGAGCAGGACAAGCGAGACGAGTGGGTGAAGCGCAGACGCAAGAACAGCAGGGAGATTTCCAGGATCTTCCAGTACATCAAGTCTCATGGCGAGCAGCCTGGCAGGCACATGTTCTTCATCCCCCCTGGGCTGGCTGTGTTTACACAGCTCGCCCTGAAGGCCCTGGGCCAGGAGGCCCACTGCTCCCTGCAGGAGGCCGACTACGAGGTGGCCTCACTCGGCCTCCAGGATGGGTGCCTCGGGGTCCTTGGCGAGGACACTGACTACCTGATCTACAACACCTGTCCCTACCTTTCCATCCGGGAGCTCTGCCTGGACACTCTGGACACAGTCATGCTGTGCCGGGAGAAGCTCTGCGAGAGCCTGTGTCTCAGTGTGACGGACCTGCCCCTGTTAGCCTGTCTGCTCGGCAACGACGTAATCCCACAAGGCATGTTTGAAAGCTTTCGGTACAAGTGCCTGTCTGCCTACACCTCGGTAAAAGAGAACCTGAACAAAAGAGGCAACGTCATCCTGGCTGTGGCGGACCACATAGCTAAAGTCCTTCGCTTGCATCAAGGTGAGAAAAAACTAGAAGAGATGCTGCCTTTGGGACCAAACAAAGCTCTTTTTTATAGAGGAGTGGCATCATATCTTTTGCCAGGACAGAAATCTCCATGGTTTTTCAAAAAATCCAAAGCTGTAACAACTTTGGACAAGCAAATACTGTCCATGAGTTCAGACTCTGAATCCAAGCAAGAAGTTGCCATGTGTACGGACCCTGAATCCAAGCAAGAAGTATCCATGTGTACAGACCCTGAATCCAAGCAAGAAGTATCCATGTGTACAGACCCAGAATCCAAGCAAGAAGTCCCCATGTGTACAGACCCTGAATCCAGGCAAGAGGTCCCCATGTGTACAGACCCTGAATCCAGGCAAGAGGTCCCCATGTATACAGACCCTGAATTTAAGCTAGAAGTACCCATGTGTACAGACCCTGACATTAAGCAAGTAACCATGAGTTCAGACCCTGAAATCAAGCAACAAGTAACTCCTTGTTCTGACCCTGAAATCAAGCACGAAGTAACCATGGTTTCAGACCCTGAAATCTTAGAGGTATGTAGACACGCCCACCCAGATTGAACATGTTGTGATTGAAAACCTGTCTGTCGGTGGGTGGGTCAGTGTTCGTTGACCACCTGCAGTGGTTACGTGCGGTGGGGTCCCAGAGCAGGCATCTGAGTTAGGAAGTGTGACAGGATGCACGTGACAACTCGCACTGTAGGCCGTGTGATGCGTGATGTGAACATCACAGAAAAGACCTGTGGTCGTTGGAAGGAGAGAGCACTGTGGGTCATGGTGGTCAGGGAGGCGGCCCCAGAAGAGGTGGCGCTGGAGCCTGACCTTACTGGGGCCGGCGTTTGCTACGACAGCGAAGCCTAGGGCAGGGCACTGCATGAAAGGGTCACAAAACATGTGACTTGTGATGCTTCTGGTCTACTCTGTATCAGAAGGGTAGGGAGGAGCAGGTCACTCCTGATGGCCTGCAGTTGGGGGAGTATCAAGTCCATAGTCTATGACACAACTTTAAGCAACTCTTTAAAAAAAACTTTTTTTTTTTAATCTTGCTGACCTTGAGGTGGCTAGCAGGCCTGCCTTGCTTCAGAGACATTTTAGCAGTGAAGTCGAGACTTTGGAATATGTCTCAGTCCCGAGGAGCAGCCCACGTGGATGAATAATGGTTGACACTTAGCCACATGGACTGCGTGCTCCTCAGTCCTAGCTCATTAACCCCATGGCAGTCCTGGGGCTGCCCCTTTATCACAACCAGTTTGCATGTGGAGAAAGTGAGGGACGGAGAGACGAAGATTCAAGTCTGCGGCAATGAACCAGTGTAACTGGAACCACCACTAAGCAGCTGCAGAGAGTGAGATACTGATTCACAGCTTCTGCTACTCCAGGTTGTCCTAATACCACATTTTAAATGCCTTGAGTGGTAGCTTGGATTTACCCCAGCAGTAACAAGAACTCTTCACGGGAAAATGGAATCTGTCGGGGGGTGGGGGTCATTATAGGCCTTCTGAACCTGGCTGCTTATTTAACTAGAAAGTAGAATTAATTTCTGTCCTGTCTGCTCCTTGCTTGCCTGCACCATGCTGGCGTAGCAAGGAGGCTCGTGGCCTTGCTCAGGAAAGCGCTACGAACAAACGACTGAGTGAAGCAGATACAGTGTCTAATCTCAAGGAGTTTATCATTTAACAGGAGAGACTGGACAGGTACCATGAGCCTGGCCTCCATGAGCTCCATGAGGCCAGCGGGCGGTTAGTTCTGACTGGGGGAGCAGAAAGAGTTAGGGGAGAAGGTGACCATCTAAGTGAAAGTGTGGAAGGGAGACGCACTCGGGTGGAACCAGTGTCGACAGCACAGGTGAAGGGGCACTGAAAGTTCTTTAGGAGTTGAGGAAGGGGCACTGAGGGTTGTTGGGCAGGTGAGGGGCCCTCGAGCAGGCGAGGGGTATAGGGGGCCTCACGAGCAGGACGGGGGTATGGGGGGCTCTCAGGCAGGTGAGGGGTACAGGGGGCTGTCAAACAGGTGAGGGGTAGAGGGGGCTCTTGAGCAGGCAAGGGTACAGGGGGCTCTCTAGCAGGTGAGGGGTACGGGGGCTCTTCAGCAGGCAGGGTGCTCTCAAACAGATGAGGGGTAGAAGGGGCTCTCGAGCAGGCAAGGGGTACAGGTGGCTCTCGAGGAGCAGGTGAGAGGGTGCTGCAGGTTCTTGAGCACGTGAGGGAGTACTGAGGACTCTCGAGTGGGTGTGCGTCCAGGGGGCTCTCGAGCAGGTGAGGGGGCACTGAGGGTTCTCGGGGAGCAGGTGAGGGGGCACTGAGGGTTCTCGGGGAGCAGGTGAGGGGCACTGAGGGTTCTCAAGTATCAGTGAAGGTTCCCCATCTGATGGTGACGGTGGTGAAGCCATGCACAAGGCTGGACACTGGTCGCCTCCTGAGCTGGGTCTGAGTGTCAGGTGAAGCGCTTGTGGTGGCTGCTCACATGCTTGGAGGAGGGGAGTGATTGGACCTTTCAAGAAGATAACAGGCAGTGGCCTGAAGGAAACTCTGGAGTGGGGCAGCTGGAGGCAGGGGTTCAGTTAGGAGCCTTTTATCACAACAGAGGCAAGAAGTAATGAGCCCTTGGTTGCTGGGAGGGTATAACGTGGCCAAATGGATGAGAGGCCACTGAGGAAATGTGGTAGGACTAGTACATGGTGGGAAACAGGAGGAGGGGGAGAAATTAAATAGTTTCAAGCCTGGAAGCCCAAAGGAAAGGAAACATGCCGTGTGATGTCACACATGTGAATGACAGTCATCTACTTCTGAGAGCCTTAAGGTAGCTGGCGGTTGATAGAGTGTGCGACTTCTTCTATTTGGAGGTTACTCTTTTGTTTCCAAAGATGCCCTGGTGGAACAATAGTTAAGTGCTTGGCTGCTAATTGAAAGGTTAGTGGTTCAAACCCACCCAGCAGCTCCTTGGGAGAAAAGACCTGGCGATCTGCTCCTATAAAGATTACAGCCTAGCAAATCCTATGAGGCAGTTCTCTTCTGTGAGTCAGAATCGACTCAACGGCATGCAACAACAATTTGTTTCCAAGGAAAAGTCAGTTGTCTTGTATTTAAATTTTGAACAGGTTGCTAGAGCACACCACGTCTGGGGTGAAAGCTACCTGGTGTACAATGTCATGAGCAGAGGGGAGATCGAGTGCAGCAACACCCTGGAGGATGAGCTCGACCAGGCCCTACCGAGCCAGGCCTTCGTCTACCGCCCGGTGCGCCAGCGCATCTATGCACTCCTGCTGGGGGACGGTGAAGGTGAGTACAGTCTGACACAACTGGATTCTGAGAAATGGGCCAGATGGAGGAGAGCGCATTCTTTCAGGACACGGAGACAGTTAAGTGGGGTTTTGCTTCTCTGTAAAGTCTGTAATTGAGAATATCACTCACATCTGTAAAACGTTAGGGATAAATGCCATGGGACAGCCATATGTAATTAGCAAGCAGTTGATCAGTATTCGTTGAAAGAAGAGTGCATTGTTTCTATAAAATGTCATGTTTTTATACCTTAAAGTGATTTGTTTCTGAAAAATGTGAAAACTGTTTCTATAGGAGTGTAGGATATGTTTATTATTAGCAGAAGGCATTGTCTACTTAGTCTCCTCTCAGGATGTGATTCTCATAAAATATTTTACAAAATTTAGCACATCATACTTTAAAATATAAACAAATATTTCCTTTAATGTTTTGTAGCTAGGTGTATGTTTTTCCTACTCATGTTCGGATTGACCCCCCATAACAGGAGTGGTTCGATAATTTCCACATTCTGTTGGATCACCTTTCTTTGGAATGGGCACAAATATGGATCTCTTCCAGTTGGTTGGCCAGGTAGCTGTCTTCCAAATTTCTTAGCATAGACTAATGAGCACTTCCAGCCTTGCATCTGTTCATTGAAAATCTCAGTTGGCATCCCATCAATTCCTGGGGTCTTGTTTTTCGCCAGTGCCCTCAGTGCAGCTTGGACTTCTTCCTTCATTACCATCAGTTCCTGATCATGCTACCTCCTGAAACAGTTGAACGTTGACCAATTCTTTTTGGTACTGTGACTGTATTCCTTTCGTCTTCTTTTGATGCTTCCTGCGTCATTCAATATTTTGCCTGTAGAATCCTTCAGAATTGCAACTTCAGGCTTGAATTTTTCCTTCAGTTCTTTCAGCTTGAGAACTCTTGAGCGTGTTCTTCCCTTTTGGCAGGTTCTTTGCACATTTCATTATAATACTTTATCTTCTCCAGCTACCCTTTGAAATGTTAAGTTCATCTCTTTTACTTCATCTTTTCTCCCATTCACTTTAGCTGCTCCACATTGAAGAGCAAGTTTCAGAGTCTCTTCTGACAGCTGTTTTGGTCTTTTCTCTTTCTTGTTTTATCAAATGACCTTTTGCTTTCTTCATAGATGATGTCCTTGATGTCATCCCACAACTCATTTGGTCTTCGGTCATTAGTGTTCAGAGCGTCAAATCTGTTCTTGAGGTGGTCTTTAAATTCAGGTGGGATATACTCAAGGTCGTATTTTGGCTCTCTTGGACTTGTTTTAATTTTCTTCAGCTTCAGCCTGAACTTGCATATGAGCAATTGAAGGCTTGTTCCACAGTCGACCCCTGACCTTGTTGTGACTGATGATATTGAGTTTTCCATTGTCTCTTTCCACTGATGTAGTCAGTTTGATTCCTGTGTATCCCATCGAGCAAGGTCCACCTCATAAAGTTACCATTCGTGTTGTTGAAAAAAGCTATTTCCAGTGAAGAAGTCATTGGTCTTGCAAAATTCTATCATGGTATCTCCGGCATTGTTTCTGTCACCAAGGCCTTATTTTCCAATTACCGATCCTTCTTTGTTTCCAACTTTCGCATTCCAATCACCAGTAATTATCAGTCCATCTTGATTGCATGTTTGATTAATTTCAGACTGCAGAAGTTGGTAGAAATCTTCAGTTTCTTTATCTTTGGCATTAGTGGTTGGTGGGTAAATTTGAATAATACTTGTATTAACTGGTCTTCCTTGTAAGTGTATAGATATTATCCTATCACTGACAGCATAGTTAGTACGTCAGGATAGATCTTGACGTGTTCTTTTTGACGATGAATGCAACGCCATTCCTCTTTAATTGTTATTCCTGGCATAGTAGACTATATGATTGTCTGATTCAAAATGGCTCATACCAGTCCATTTCAGCTCACGAGAGTCAGGCTTTTGGGATCCTCATCTGCTTACGTGGCACAACTCAAAATGAGAAGAAACAGCTGCAAACATCCACTAATAATTGGAACATGGAGTGTACACAACATCATGATAGAGAAAGTATTGAAGTTGTCAAGGATTTCATTTTCTTGGATCCATAATCGACACCCATGGAAACAGCAGTCAAGAAATCAGACAATGCTTTGCATTAGGCAAATCTGCTGCAAAAGACCTCTTTAAAGTGTCAAAAATCAAAGATGTCACTTTAAGGGCTGTGGTGCACCTAACTCAAGCCAGGGTGTTTTTAGTCACCTTATATGTATGTAAAAGCTGGACAATGAATAAGGAAGACTGAATTAGAATTGATGCCTTTGAATTGTGGTGTTGGCAAAGAATATTGAATATGCTGTGGACTGCCCGCAGAATGAACAAATCTGTCTTAGAAGAGGTACAGCCAGAAGCAAGGATGGCGAGACGTCATCGTCTCACACACTTTGGACATGTTATCAGGAGGGGCCAGCTCCTGGAGAAGGACATCATGCTTGGTAAAGGAGAGGGTCAGTGAAAAAGAGGAAGATCCTCTGTGAGATTGATGGACACAGTGGCTGCAACACTGGGCTCAAGCTTAACAGTGATTGTGAGATTGGCGCAGGACTGGGCAGTGTGTCGTTTTCTGCTGCGTAGGGTCCCTGTGAGTCAGAACCGACTCAATGGCACCTAACAACAACAACAATGCCTAGGATGTCGATCTTTATGTGTTTCATTTTTGACGACTTCCCATTTTCCTAGAATCATACTTCGTACATTCCACGTTCTGACTGTTAATGGATAATTGAAAAGCGGTTGCAGCAGTACATTGACATGGAACTGCCGAATTCAGAAGAGGATGTGGAATAAGGGATGTCATGGCTGATGTCAGATGGATCTTGGCAGAAAGCAGAGAATACCAGAAAGATGTTTACCTCTGTTTTATTGACTGTGTTTTATTGACTGTGTATGGATCATAACAGTTATGGATGACACTTCAAAGAATGAGAATTCCAGAACACTTAATTGTGTACATGAGGAACCTGTACATAGACTTCTAGCCTCCTAGACTGTGAGAGAATAGATTTTTCTTTGTTAAAGCCGTCCACTTGTGGTATTTCTGTTATAGCAACACTAGATAACTAAGACAGAATTTGGCTCCAGGAGTGGAGTGTTGCTCTAACAGATACCTGAAGTGTGGAAAGTGTTTTGAAACTGAATGGATAGAGGCTGGAAGAGTTTTAAAGTGCTTGATTGTAAAAGCCTAGGCTTCCTTGAAGAGACTGTTGGTGAAATTATGGACATCAAAGACAATTCTGGTGAGGACTCAGAAGGAAATGAGGAAAGTTGTTACACCGGAGATGGCGCAGACGACGAGAAGCAGCAGCAGAGAAACGGCAGCAGCAGAACCAGGAAATCAGTGCAAGACAGCGCAGGAACTGACCCACAGACCGGGAGAGCTGAGTGTTATGGCAGGAGGCTTCCTGGCAGAGTGGGGTACTTATCCATGGAGCTTGCCTACTCACGGAGCAAGAGAGCTTAGTGCCTTTCGGCCGAAGTTTACTGCTGGAATGGGGTGCCTCCAGGTGCTCATCAGTGGAGTTGAAGAGCTTTGAAACACTTGTCTCAGCAGAGTAGAGCTGCTAGGCTCAAAGGCCCAAGGGGCTGAGAAGCCAAGGAACCAGGAAGCAGAAGCTAAAGAGACAATGAACACAGGAAACAGAGCTGCTTCAGTCTCAAAGGGTAGCGCCACGACCTCTGGGGTCTCCAAGGGTGGAGCCATGGCCTCTGGGGCTTCAAAGGTTGAGGCCACAGCCTCCTGGATTTCAAAGAGTCAGATCTTCACCAACTCGGTTCCAGAGTGTAGGGTGCCTTTCACAAGTGCCAGCAGTACGAGGCCAGATCTGCTGTCCAAAGCTGAGGGGATGGGGCTGCCATACCCAAGGAGGAGAAGAACGAGGTCTGCCGGGGCCAAGGGGGTAGGGTTACCAGCTCAGTTGGACTAAGAGAATGGGGCTGCCCAAAGCTGAGGGGGCAGTGTTGCTGTTCCAGTGGGCCTGGAAGGCGGAGCTGAGGCCCAGAGCCAGGGGACCTCTACTCAGAATCCAGAGAGTGTGGCCAACGCCCAGAGTCTGGAAGGCAGGCCTATTGTCTAAATGGTCTCAGAGCACAGAGAATTATTTTCAAGCCTTGGGGGCTAATGTAATGTAATGTGTTGTGCTGACTTGCTTGGTGCCTGTTACTCCTTCTCTCCCCCCGGTTTCTCCCATTTGTGATGGAAATGTCTAGCTTGTGCCTCTTCCACCATTGTACTTTGGAAGCAGATAACTTGTATTCTGGGTTTCACAGATAATGAGGAATTTTTGGATTTTGGTCTTGGAGTTGATTTAAGACTTTTGCTGTGATATGATGGGGTGAATATGTTTTATATGTGGCAAAGACATGAATTTTGGGGGGCCAAAGGGTGGAATGTCATGGATTGAATTGTATCCCCCCAAAATATGTGTTAACTTGCCTAGGCCATTGATTCCCAGTATTGTGTGATTGTCCACCATTTTGTCATCTGATGCGATTTTCCTATGTGTTGTAAATCCTACTTCTGTGATGTTAATGAGGCATGATTAGCAGCAGTTATGTTAATGAGGCAGGACTCAGTCTACAAGATTGGATTGTGTCTTAAGTTAGTCTCTTTTGAGATATAAAAGAGAGAAGCGAACAGAGAGTCATGGGAACCTCATACCGCCAATAAACAAGAGCCAGGAGAATAGTGCATTCTTTGGACTTTGGGACCCTGCACCGAGAGACTCCTCAACCCGGGAAGATTGATGACAAGGACCTTTCCCCAGAGTTGACAGAGAGAGAAAGCCTTCCCCTGAAGCTGGCACCCTGAACTTGGACTTCTAGCCTCCTAGCCTGAGAGAATAAATTTCTTTTTGTTAAAGTCATCCACTTGTGATATTTCTGTTAAAGCAGCACTAAATAATTAAGATACTTTAATGCAATTTACTTATTTGATTGTTATTAGATGACTACATAAGTAGGAACATTTACTC